TACACTCAGATGAGTCAGAGTAACATCACAAGCATCATATTCACCTGAGTACATTACACCAACACAGAAAAATATTATGATTACTAGATCACATTGATTCGAAGGAACTAGACTTGGTTCCGAAATATCACATACTCGAACCGACTGACCGCGTAGCTCAGTTGGCAGAGCGTTGGGCTAGTGTTCGAAAGGTCGTAGGTTCGATTCCCACCGTGGCCAGGCATATTTTTCGGACTTGCCCATTGTGGATATACACTCAGAGTAACATCACAAGCATAATATATGACTTGTTTAAACGGTCACATCAGCACGTCATTTCAAACTTAGTGACACAGAATGGACACTTACAGAAGTCTGACCATAGACAATCCAGAAAACAAATTCTTCTGGATTGTCTATGGTCTGACTCAGCCAAAAAGCGTAACCCCAAAATGCACTCATCATGTTCCTAGCCATCGCGCTTACGAGAAGCATTCATCCCCCTGAACGTCCGCTATTTTTAATATTTTCAAACACGCCAAAATGGCACCAACAAGAAGTCGGACAGAAGTGGTTGACAGAAGTAGGTATTTTTGTTGTGCTAGATGCGCGCGCATGCAAGACAAGAGATTTTAATTTCGCACAGTCTGATCTCTGTTGATATAAAAAAGTAAATTTATAAGCTCAATAGACACTGAGTTCCCGAATTTGCTTGAGTGCACACGAAATAATAACTTGAAATCGAGGTGGAAAATGTGATCCATTGTAAAATAAGTTGCTTTCATTGACAGCCAGTCTGTTGCTTTCATTGACAGCCAGTCTGTACAGCCTATCTGTAAAATAAGTTGCTTTCATTGACAGCCACTGTATGTCTATACCTAACACATGATAACATCTCAAAGTTCGATTACCTTTTTTAATACTCCCTGTATATTGGTTTGAGGATCAGGTTTTGGTTTGCTTTATGTTCAGTGTTTTGGTTTTAGGTTCAGGTTTTGAATTAAGAAAGGCTTATGGTATAAAAAATAAATTATATATTCAGTGTGAATATATCGAGAAAGTGAAAATTGAGTTCAGTGACTTGTTTATCGAATATTGAGGTCAAAAATTGAATTGAAGTTGCTTTAGCCTATATAAAGAGTAAGGAAAATATCGATAGTTGTGATTGAAGATCAGTAGTTGTGTTATGTAGATCACTTAGCGTAACAGGGATATCCCTCTGGATATCCCGCTGGTATCCCTCTAGATACCCTGGCTTCGGCTGAATAGCTACCCTTGCCAGTGTTCATCTCTTTTTGAAAAAAACAATTTGCTTTGTAATTCATTCATAGTTTAATTGTTAAGGTTCCGTCTCGACCCATCGAAGGAATCGAAAAATTTAGATATCGTACTTTAACCTACTGACAGGTGGGCCTCACACCTGACAGCCCCTTATGTCAGGTCTGCATACGTTGGTTGTTAATATTTTGAAAGAAGAGTAAACCTCATTTTTCCTGTCACGACCAAAATGGGAAAATCAAGGTTTTGTTGTGTGAAATATCCATTACAATTTTACATGTAAGCAATAGTTAAAATTGCTACTGCTTTTCGTAAAATAAGTAACTCAAGTAATTGAATATTACTCAATGAAAATGAATGAACGTTTACAAGAACATTTTAAAGTTCCGCGGGTTCCGTATTTCCGCAGTTCCGCGATAAAACCAGGAATTAAAAAATCTTACGTTATCATTGCTTTTGACAACAATCCACGTTGGCATTTTTGACGCTGGAAGTGTTTCAGTTGTCATGTCCGGTGATAAAACAATATATAAATACTTAATAATTTTTAGTTCATCATGAAGCTACATACTCACGAAGAAACATTTCATGATGGCTGTTTATGTTTTAACGAACACAGAACAGAATAATTCCATCGTTAAATCTATTGCTGGTCACGATTTATATGGCGAGGTGAATACTGCAGCGAATGACATAGAATGTATGTTTTTAGGAACTTTGCAAAGTTTTATGAAATTTTACAGAAATAATATTTCTTTGCAAGAACGTCGACAGCTTACTGTTGCGGCATCAAAAGGAAGGTTGGATTATAAAACTTCAACTGTCATACGTGAACAAGAAGAGGGAATGTTAAATATTTTGGAACTGCCAGTAAGTTCAAATTACGGTTAGCACTTTTTTCCATCCAGCAAACCGCCCTATCGATTTTCTAAAGTCGTTTCTTTTTGGATTTTTTTATTAATTCGGTTAGGGTTAGAGTTGGGGTTGAGGTTAGGGTTAGAGGTTAGAGTAGGGGTAGGGTTTGGGTTAGTTACATAGCCATTTAACACCTCTTCCGAAAATGACGTCAGGTCAGGTTGCTGGATGGAAAATAGTGCTAACCTCAAATTACTCGGCTAAATTGCCTTACCGGTAAACTTAATCTATTAATACCTAATTTATTTCCATTGACAACTAAAACCGGTGTTAATAGACGCAGTAAAATAGCAAAGTGGGATGCATTACAACTAGCTTAGTTGATTAAAACTTAGCACATTAATGCCTGTAGTTATAGTACGGTAGGGGAAAAGGGTAGAGGTGTGCAAATCCGAAACCGATCCAAATCCGATTTGTTCGGATTTCGGAACCAAAATATTCATTTTGGATCGGATTGATAAAGTTGTTTCGTAGTCGGATCGGACTTCGATATCCGAAATAAAATGAATTAATTATCCACGCATTATCGCAAGAATTAATTATCCATGCATTTATCAAAGCATTATCGCAGTTGTCGCTGGATTATTCTTTTGATACTTCAATTAGACGTCACTTTGTCAAGCATCTTGACATGTATTCCTTGCTTTTATATTCATTTGGTTAAATATTTCAACTTGAATGAGAAATTTATTTTATTAAAGAATTCTTTGGATCGGATTGGAATTCTTTATCAAAACTCGGATCGGATTCGGATTAGACAATTTCGAATCGGATTTTAAACATTAGGCTATTGTCGGATTATAAACGTCCAATCCGATCTGATGCACACCTCTAGAAAAGGGCCTCCCCCCTGGAAATATAGGGGTTCAGATTTGAGTTCCACCTCTAACTGGCTTAGTATGCATATGATTGGTTAATTGAATATATCAAATGCATCTGATTGGCTGATGGTCCCTTAATGGTAGCGGTTATTGTGTAAGTCAAATCTGAACCTCTATAATATTAGCTCCTGGCTGGGGCCGGTTGTATGAAAGCTGGATAACTCTATCCACCGGATAGTGATGTTTCCAATCATTGTAAAATTGTTCATTGATTGGTATAACTCAGATTGTATTTATAAATTAAAGTTTTGTTTTATTGATTGTGAGGTCCATATATCCATAGTTTTATAACTTCACCACATTTCCCTAAATTTTGGTCAGCAGCAAGAAGACATGGGAAGGAGTGAAATTAATCTCCTTGCTTGTGAAACAGAATTAAAGTTTGGTTCATAATTAAGACATTCGACTAGCAAACTATGGGTTAGATTATATTAATTTAATTGTTTTCAACAAGATAAAGGCTTTTGAGCTTTATTCATTTAAACAAATATGAATAGCACTACTATCTGGCTTAGAGTGCCCCCATAACGTCTGTACGTTAATTGTCTTGAAACCTCTCCCATTTTGCTGGGGACTGGCAATTAAGATTTGACAATTGCAACTAGGGTATGTTATCTATATATTTTGCAGTGTGTCTGCCACTGGCTTAAACATTTACTGATTTGTTATAATGTTTATTTATTTTCCTTTAAGTCATCATTGCAGCTGTCACTGCTATCCTATCTGGATGTTCACAGTTTGTGTCAAGTTTCCCAAACCTGTCACATACTAAATAACTTAGCCAGTGATCATTTATTATGGGAGAGAATTTTATCACGAGATTTAAAGACATGGACACTACTTAATTATCAGTCATATCCACAGATATTTCTTGATGCTGGTGCAGATCTGGGGACTAAAGAAATGTAAGTCAAAGTATTGGCTTGTGGTCAGGGTAGATGTTTTACATATATGACTGAAATAAATGGATGCAGGGGTGGATCTGCCTCATCTACAAGGAAGGATGCAGGTTTCCCACAGGGTGGTGCATGAGGGAGCCTCACTGCTCACTCTCTTTTGCAGTCAGCAATGCTACTATCCCAAAATTTCCAGTATTTGAGATGGTCAAATCTGCATGTATGATCAAGCAGATTGTTTTAGGGTGGTGCTGGACCTCTCTAGGGGGACGCTAGACACCACTAGGTGGGCTGCGCACCCCCATGGTAGAACTGCTCCTGCATACAATTAATTGTCGTTCCTCACCTTTGTTCAGATATGCAAGATGTTATTCTGGCTATCAAAAAACGAAAAACTGCAAACCTGCTGATGAATCATTGTTTGCAAAGCTTTTAAAATTTGCGCCATTCTATCAAAAACCTCCACCCAGAGTGCAAATGTTTGGGCCAGGTTTAGAAGCAAGCACAAGTGGCTTAGTTCATAAGTTATTGTGGAATGAAATTTCTCCATTTCGCGTTCAAAACATGTTTTCTGGACTAGAAGATGGTAGGTAAAGAATGATGATTCTGAGTTTAACTTAATTTATAAATTTTGAGACATAGAATTCCTCAATTCCGAAGCAAGCTTCCTCCCTTCCCTACCTCAAAGGTAGCGACCCCTAAAGTAACGTTACTTAACTTTGTGATCCTTTTAAAATTCCCGAAAGTTGCCGTTCAGTGGTTAGTGGTACACCCAAATTATTAATTCATATCTGGCATTTAACAAATAGTAGCGGTGTTTTTAAACACAATAATTATTCAACAAAAAGTGACTTTATAGTGGAGACTAATGTGACGTTATTGTGCTGACGGTGTGTGCGTATGAAAAAAATTACATAATTATTATATATTATTCAGCTCACTCCCCAATGGGGACTTTGCAGTGACCGATTACATCAAGTATTACGCTTAGTATACGTATTACCTACTTAGCCTAGACTAATTATCTTTACAACAATTGTGATATTACTTTCCTATTCCTAACTATATCCTAACCCACCCTGACAACTTTCTCTGTGGGAGGAAACCGGAGCGCCCGGAGAAAACCCACGACTTTCGGCTGAGCGTTTTTTCATCAGTCGTCTTTATGTCATGACGACTGCGCCACCAATTAAGTACTCGACTGTATCAGAAAAAATCTGAAATCAACAGCTTACTTACCATATTACTCAGTTAAATTTCTCAGTTTCTGCAACGTATTGGATGAAAACTTCAACCCTGTTCAAACGGAATGATGAGAGTTGATGAGAGTTGAATTCTCGCTTGTGTTTGACCACTAACTCTCGTTTGACCTCTCATCAGCTCTGAGCTGTTTCAAAGTTTGATGAGAGTTTTCGCTACGCGCGCGGTTTTATCCAGTCATTTTACAACTGTCGAATTCATGCAACCTTTGTTCTCATTTGGCCGGGACGGGTGGTTGAGAAAACTCTCAGTCTCTTATGCAAACTCTCGCTTCTTAACTCTCATCCTCATTTAACCATTTAGGTGGCGAAGTCACTGAAATTATTCAATTTTAAATCTTTAGGAGTTGGGAGTGGATTGTCTTTGAAGTACAATGAATCCGAAATTGTCAATTTAATAATAACCTATTCATCAACAAAGTAAGTTAGTTTAATTTAAAAATAATAATATTACTGTACAGATCCGGAATTGCTTAGTATTTCTACATCTAACTTTATTTGGAAATGATTAAAATGAAATAACTGTAGTTGCAAGAAAAGGGCCGATATAGGTGGCTATGGGCGTTCGCGCTATTATGAGAAATGGCATGCAGTAAGTCAGTAATATATTTAATACTGACTCAAGAAGGCTAGACAGATTATGTTTATTATATGTCTCATTCATGGGCTTCCACCGTACAGTATGTGAGTATATATATTGTATGTGGTCACTGCACGCACGTACGGTAAGTATAAAAGTAAAGGAAATAAGTAGAATTGATAGCGCTATTGAGGAAGAATGGTACATACCAAAGAAAAGAAGTTGATAAAACGATATACAGACAGTGGGAGGACACTTCGCGAAATATTTGGGGTCGGGGGAAGGGACAATTTGGGTTGTCACCAAATCTCAGTTCTTTAACCTTTTTTTTCTAATCTATAGCATTCCAATGCTTTATTGTTTTAGAATTGCTGTTGCCCCCCCCCCAGTGGTAAAGATAAATATTGTTGTAAAATTACTGTTGCCCGCCCCCCCCCCCCTCCCAGTGTTCCCCAGTGGTAAAAGATAAATATATGAAAGTATTTTCTGATGCAGAAGGAACTCGATGTCAGCTAGATTACTGAAAGGCAAAACGCTGTTTCTTGACACAACTGATGAACTACGACTGATGCATGAACTAGCAAACATTTTTTAACACAATTTTTTAGAAAACAGTTTTAACTGCACCAGATGCAGTGAAGTGCGGTCCCCCGCGGCCCCGCCTATGTTCTTTATCATCAATAATTCGTCCTTTAGATTCTCGGCCTCAAATTAAAAGAATTGTATCGTATCATACCCGGTTACTTTTTCTTCTGACCAGTAACGACTAAAGACTAAAGTATATGGTACCATCAGGCAAAACAGTATCCGGCATATCCCGCTTCTTCGGTCGAACGAAGGATTGAACGAACGGAATCACACTCATAGAAAGAAGCGCTGTCAAGTTTGCAGTATATAATAGTTAATTCTGTGTTAGAAACCTCTTCCTGGATTATAAATAATGATCCTTATATATCTTTAGAAAAGAACGGGAGGCTGCTGCCAAGGATGGTTCGGCAATCAGAAACAAAATGTTCTTGGAGCAAGATGATGAATTTTTGGTTCATGAAGTTAGTCATTCTGTTAGACAGTTATGTAAAACAATCGATGCCTTCATTTTTGTTGTCGATTCCTCAACCACTAAAGAAAAAGGTAAATGTACATATCGTTTTCAAGTTCTACAGTCGAAGTGGAGTAGAGGTTATTCAGGCCTTGCGACTACACGGGAATATTGCGTCACGCTAAAACAAACACAAACACCATTTTGGGAGGAGAAACGATGGTAGGCACCTCGCTCGGTGGAGGAAATCGCTGTCGGAATTCATCCGAAAATGAACTTTATGTATTCAACTGGAGCTCTACTGAAGTGAACCCGAAATTTTGACGGCTATTTGACGTTTTCGAAACCGCCACCCAAATAAATGATGCATGAAACTCAAACAATGACTTTACATGGTATGTTGTGACGTCACTTTCAAGGGCTGAATAGGATACTGGACTTTTTAGTCTCAGGAAATTCTCGTTTCAGACTTCACAATAGGCCGTCAGGTTTTTATGATGGAAAAGGGTTGATACTGCTAATGTAATTACTCTGGCAGCTATTGCATGTTTGAGGGGCGAGGGTTGTCTTTAAAGTATATTTACTATATTACATCATTGTACTGCTCGAACTATTTCATCATTACGCGAGTTTTTTGTTTTCTTTTTATGTAGTATCTGAAAGCAATGATTTACTTTATTCAATGATGGATGAAAGATGGACAAGTCAAAAAGCACCATTAGTAGTGTTATCCTGTGCTAAAAGTTCTGAGCATGAAGAGCCAAAGTTAACCTGCGTTGATGTTGTTGAGGAACTCAAACTTTGTGAAATGAATAGACGTTGGCAGGTGAACATTCAGCTTAATATGTATTTAACCAGTCTATGCCAGACACCAACGCTGCCTGCAAGCAGTCGCGGACATCTCTGAGTGTGCCGAGATTGTGCTCAAGTTAACTATATGAGCGCCCAACATTTTTTCTTTACAGATAATAAAAGTACTAATAAAACTGTAATATGTCAAAATTAATATTCACTGACCAGCAGTGACGTCTTCTTGATTCTTCTCATCTTTATATGTATAGGTTAGCCAAGTGGTGGTTGACACGTTAGAAGGTATTGACGTTGCAACTAATTGGTTACTCAAGGAATGTTCATGAGCAAGTAAATTTTTTACATGAGACTGAATGAAGTCATTAAATGATGTATCTAACGATGGAAGTTGTTAACAAGAACCCAAATCAAGCAGGACGGCAACGTGATTTACAAACTCATCAGACCATATTCTTTTGTATTTCGTCGGTTTTTAACTCCCCCGTAATAACCTTCAGTCTAAAAGCAGGCGGTGGTATTTGATTTCTCCGGGGGAAATACGGGGTTGAAGGTTATTACGGAAAAATAATAACCGGGTAGCAGGTTATTACGGAAAAATAATAACCGGGTAGCAGGTTATTACGGAAAAATAATAACCTGCTAGTCTGCTACCAGGTTATTATTTTTCCGTAATAACCTGCTACCAGGTTATTATTTTTCCGTAATAACCTGCTACCCGGTTATTACGAAAAAATAATAACCAGTTACCTGGTTTTACATTTTCAATTCAAGACCTGGCATGAGTCTTGAATTCGGGACTTGAATTTGCAGGAAAACTCAAGACCCACATCTCCTTTTCGACTAGAAAACGTTGCACGTCTCTAAGTCGAGAAACAGACAACAGCCGTGTACCTCAGAGCCCGTCAAAACTCTACCATTAGGTAAGAGTAATTTTTTATTAAAAACCCCACATAGTGTATATCACTACGGGGAATCAAAATTATTTGACACACAATTCACATGCATTAGATTACATTAAATTATTTACATTAAGTCACACAAATATTGACTGTTAGATCAAAGTTCGAATTATACCGTTTGTGACACATGCTAAGACATTGTTTAAACACCATTTTGACTCAAAGTTTTTCGTGCCCATGATGCCCTGTTCTGTTTCTAATCGAGTTCGCACATAATTCCTAAAATATACAAGACTGTTGATTTTCTCATCCTTCCTAAACTGATATGACACGCGCTCTTTCCACGCGGAAAATTTGCCAACACTAATTAAGTAACGCAAAAGGTCTCTTGTTCTTGTTCGCGGGAAACAACCCAACAACATATTCCGTTCTGACAGACCAATAACCGATGCATCAATTTGATTGCACAGTTTCAGAATAAACATCCACAGCTCCTTTACCATCGGACAATGAATCAACGTGTGTTCCAATGTTTCGATTCTTTCACCACACCGTGCACATGCTGAGGATATTCTTGAATACCATTTATGCACTCTGAAATTGACAGGCAAAACCCGATGTACCGCGCGCCAATCAAAATCACGTAACACTGGATCATTGAAACTTCGAGCGACATCTGTCCAAATCTCTTTCCAGATTAAACCAGGACCAAATCTTTGATTCCAAGCTAACTCGCTTCTTGCTTGTACCGGGGTAACACAATCTTCAATACGTGTTAAATAATACATTTTACTCGTGCAAGGTTGTCCCAAATCAACAGCAAATTCTCTCAGAACACGAAGAAGATGACTATAAAACGGAGTTGGAATGTCGCTATTTGGTCTCGAGTTATCGTTTATGCCTAAAGACCGTCCGATGTAATAGCGCATGAAATCTTTCCAAGGTGCCTCACTCTCCTCAAAAAATCGGAAAACACGACCAATCAACAATGCTTTGCTTTTGATGTCAAGATTAATAATTCGCAGACCCCCATTCAGGTAGTCTGACATACACGTTTCCCGACGCACTCACTCCGGTTTCTTTGACCAAACGAATTTCCAAATTTCTGATTGTAGCGAGTCAATACATTCACGCGTTAGCGGGTATATCTTTACCACATGCCAAAGCGTCGAAGCCACCAGACTCCCGATCACCGTCATTTTCCCCCGTAACGTTAGATACCGTGGTTCCCATTTCTTCAATATTCCCTTGAATTTGGCCGTAACCTCTGCCCATGACTGGATATTTGCATTTTCGGAACCAAAGTAAATACCAACAATTTTTAAGCTCGTGTTAACCCACGTTAGACCACAGGGTGAATCAGTACGAGATCGCCACCTACCGAGCCAAAGACCCTTTGATTTCGTTGTATTAAGCCTCGCTCCGGATGCTCGACCATATTCATTAAAGACATCGATGACTTTAACAAGGCCATATGAATTGGTAACAATGCAGGTGTTATCATCAGCATATTGTGATATTTTCACTTCCTTCCCTCCAGGCATACGCAATCCCTGTATTTCTGGGCACTTCCGAATCGCTTGTCCAAACACTTCCGCCACTATGACAAACAACAATGGAGATAGCGGGCACCCTTGTCGTACAGCTCGTTGCACTTGAAAAAATTCTGAAACATAACCATTGGAGATTATAGCACTCTGAATATCATGATAAATACATTTAATGTATGATCGAAATTGTGGACCAAAGTTCATGGTATCTAAAATTCTGTCTAAAAAGCCCCAGTCAACATAATCAAACGCTTTTTCTTGATCTATCGATATAAAGGCACAGGCCATTCTTTCATTAACTTCCAGATAGTCACATACGTCTCGTAGGAGAGTCACATTGTCTTCACTCGAACGACCAGGGACAGAACAGCATTGATCCAGGTGTATTATTATGGGCATAACAGGTTTAACACGATTTACCAGAACTTTTGTAATAATCTTGTAATCTGTATTGAGGAGCGAAATTGGGCGCCAGTTTTTCAATAATTCAGGATCTTCTTTCTTAAACAACAGTGATATTAATGCTTGGCGCATAGACTCAGGCATCAGTTCAACTGAAAAACAATAATTTGCCACTTCAACAAAGTCTTCTTTAAGCAGGTCCCAAAAGGACAAATAAAATTCTTTCGGTAGACCGTCGGAACCAGGGGTTTTGCCATTTGCCATAGACTTTACTGCTACCAAACATTCATCCACCGTTAACTGTCCCTCGCATGAATCACGTTGCTCATTTGTTAGTTTTCTGTCCAGTAAATTGAGTAACCGATCTTGGGCAACT